GTAACTGGTGTTTCCCTCAGATGCAAATAAACTGCCCACTGTCTCTGCCAGCATTCTGCTCAATTTACATTATAGACTCCAGCAAAAAGGCAAAACAAATCTCCTTTGTCTAGAACAAATGTGTTTATCAAGTCTGCCCCAAAAAAGTATTTTAGGAACATATTTCCAGCACACACACATAACTCTTTACACGCCAAGTACGGACCCCACGCCATGCTATTAATGAGCAGTGTGATACCAACTTTCATTTAACTCTACACATAACACTTTACAGAAAATACTATGATGGCAACATGTGAAGTGTAGTGTGTGTCAGAGGTGGCAGGAGTTTGCAGAACAGTGGCCCTCTGCCAGTTGGCATTGAGGGACTCATAGGTTATGTCTGCACAGCAAAGAAAGTCCCACGGCTGGCCTGTGCCAGGCAACAGGGTCTGGGGGGCTGTTTCATTGCTGTGTAGACTTCTGGGCTTGGGCTGGCACCCGAGCTCTGGTACTCTCCTACCCTGCAGCATCCTAGAGCCCAGGCTGCAGCCCAAGCCTAGAAGTCTACACAGCAATAAAATAGCCCTGCAAGCCTGAGTCAGCTGGCATGGGCCAGCCCTGGGCATCTAGTTGCTGTGTAGACAAACCCTTAGGATCCCAAGAGTATCTTGTTAATTAAGTCTAGGCTCCAGAAGGCATGTTATGATTTTATTTGGGATGTAACCGTTTGTTTCCAATACTTTCACGTGCTATTACTTGAGTCTCAGGGCTTTGTTAAATAAACTTATCCCTGATTTCACTAGAAACCAATCTCAGTGCTGTGTGTTAGGCGGAGCGGGGAGCTGAGTAGGAACTCGCAAGCTGTTTCTCTGGAAGCAGTGAATCTGTAAATACGACAATTGTCCAGTGAACCAGGGCTGGACCCTCCAGGGAGCTGCTCGCCGAGTTTGAGGGATAGCGTGTACCTATTGCTAAGCTGCAGTGATAGCAGGGCCTTCCTCACGCTAAGGGCAGGTGGTACCCCCACCGCTATTTAGGTTGCCCGGCCCTTTCCCTTATAACAGCTTCTTGTGACCTTTCCTTTGAGAGGCTCTCACACCGCCATTGTTTTAAGTGGGTCTTTACTATTCAGTAGGAGGCAAGCACTCTGGCTTGAGAGGAGCTTTGTCTCTGTCCCTCGCCATTCTGGCTGCTCTGATAGAAAGGGTTAAGAGGCACCATTTCCCTTCTCTCTTTTTCCTCAGGAGAGGTAGCAGCCAGAATAGCCAAATACACCACCACACCAAAGGTGAACTCACACCGCCACCCCCCAACACACACAATACTGGGGATATCCAGGAGCTGCCAGAGCCGCTGTAGAGGTTGGAGCAGTGGAGGAAGAGGCCACAAGAGCAAGGCTGACTCAAGATCATCATAAGGGCTGGAGCAGCTCTACCTCCCCAAGGGAGCAAACTTGACACACACACCCCACCCCCGCCCTCTTGGATCCAGCACATGGCCCAAGCAACCCATCCCACCTCTGGGGACACCATGAGGTGGGTATGGGCTGGAGCTCCCCCCACTTCAGGGAGGATGGGAGATCGAGGTCAAGTCAGGCTCCTCACAATCATTGCCCCAGACCCAGCAGCACTTCCATGGCTGGGATCTCAACCAACTTCTGCTTCCAGCTACTGTTGAGAGACAAGGTGGGGGAGGGAATAGCTTTTATTAGACCAGCTTTGGAGGGGGCATGGGGGGAGAAGAGAAGCTTTCAAGCTTACACAGAGCTCTCTCTCACGTACATTCTATGTAAACTCAAAAGATTGTGTCTCTGCTATCCTCAGACCACAGCAACACAGCATCCAGTTAATGTAGCTAGTCTTGTAACACGCTGGGCTGAAGGTTAAGGGGGCAAATGCTGCAGGCAATATCGGGGGTGGGGTACAGTTGTACAAAATAAACTTTTTATTTTAAAGGACCCCAGAGACCCAGCAGGGCAGAATGAATACTAACAAATCTGGCCTTTCCTAACCTTTCAAGAGACTGAGTTTCTAATTTAAAATGTTCTTTTCATGTAGTTGTGGGCTGTGTATATTTTCCTACTGAACATGTAAATGATTACAAAGAGCAATGGTTCTCAGATCAAGTACACCTCCCACCACTGGGTAATTTTGGAGGAGGTTTGGTTTTGAAATAAAAGTGCACTGAACTTGCTTGATTGTAGGTATTGCAGTGCCCCCTCCTGGATAGACTCAGAGCTACTAATCTCATGGGTGATGCCTTTCTCAAAGATTGTCCTTCCACTCAAATGTTGATCCTGTGTGTTTGGAACCAGAAGATCAATTTTAGGTGAACTCTTCCATATAGACAGCGACCTTGATGGTAGGAGACTGTTCATGGATGGCCACCGTATGAGACTCCCTCATGGGGTGGGGAGGGAAGAAGACAGGAACACTTCTCTCATTGGGTGAGCTGCTTGTGATCAGTAGAATGTTACCTGACTATAGTGAGGATCTGCTAACACCTTAAAAACCACCATTATACCACCACATGCTAGATAAACCGGGTTTTTTAAAGAAGGATGCAAACCACGCTAGCTAGTGCTCAGACAAGGGAGAGCCTTGTCCTGAAGAACTTTAGGCTCAATGTCTTAAACTGCCCTAATCTTCAAAACAACGGATCCAGCCACATTAAAGATCAAACATCAATCTCTGAACCACCACAAAAGTTGCGCTCTTCTGGGACAATGCAGCTCACAGTGCAGAATGAAGCATGAGAGCTGGGACAAAATATTCTGTGCCCGAGGGATCCAGTTAGGGAGCAGTCTTCCAGAGAAGATTAGGTGAATTAAGACTAACTGCCTTGATGGAACATTGCAAAGAGAAGGCCTTTCCATCATAAGAATGACACACAACAGTAACTCCAGCCAAGCAGGAGTTACCCTGAAACAAACTAGCCTAAACACAGAGTAAATTAATAAAAATCTTTAAAAAAATCAAACCACCCCCTACACTTAGCGTTTTGACCCCCCAAAAGGGAGAAGAGCCAGAAACTCCAAGAAATTCACTAGGAGCTTTGCTATTGAATTGAGGAGGAAGGTGCGCAGATACTACGGTGATGGAGAGACAGAAGAATCTGTACTCTAATTACACACAGAGGAGAGAAATGGAACAGCACAGCCTTTCCCCTCCCTGTATACAACTACTTCAGCATTTTAATACACAACTTTGCCCCATCTTTTTAACCCTCCACCTCCTGGATTAGGTTTTGGGGATTAAACTTTAAGCTATTGGCTCCTTGTGCATTACAGACACTTGCCAGCTATTTCCACTCCAACTCCACATCTCACCCTTCCTCTGCTTTGCACAGTAAGCCCACCACCCACTCCCTCCCCTCTGGGATTGAGAGTAGGCACTGGCTGCTGAATAAGGAGGCAGCAGGATGAAGTTCTTGAGCCTGGGAAGGCGTGTGCACCTGCTGCTGCCCAACTCTCTCCACAGAGGATCTCCGAGCCAGCCGCAGAGGCATAGGGGCCAAGACCTTCAAAGGGCCTGGCCCCCAAGTGGGAGCTCCTCCTTTTATAAGTCAGTCCCATGAGGGGCTGGTCTGGCAGGAGTCGGTGTTAAAACTGAGAAGGAAACTGAGGCACGGACTGGTGCTTGGTAAACCCCTCACAGCCAAGTCATGGCTGAGTGAGGAAAGGAGCCCAGGAGTACAGGCCCCCGGGGCCCTCTCTGGGCATTGAGGTACACTCCCCTCTCCAAGCCACGTATGACTTGAGTCCCTGCCCATTCTAGCAGCCGCCTAGTGCATGAGCAGAACTCCCTCACAGGAGGATTTTAGAGCTGGGGAGCTTCCATACCAAGCTGCAACCCATCACTTCCCCTGGAGGAGCGTAGCAGCGAGAGTCTTACACATTCCTCCAGCAGCAGCAGGGGAGCCGTGTGACATGTCTGCTGTGGCCTGCCTTGTCTCTACACCCCATTGCTACACATGACATGGGTGAGGATGGACACTTCCTCACTGGAACATACCCGAGTGTTTAGCCGCAACCTCAAGATCTGACTCAGCTACCCTTCTTTATGCACTCGGCATTGGCCTTTCCTTGCTAGGAGCAGCAGCAAGCAGTTCCCTCCCTCTGCGCTGTCACAAACATTTTTCAAGTTCCTCTCCCTGTCATTCTCCACTGAGAATGTGATTTGAGCCCTGGTGCTGCTGTGGTGTCACCCTCTTCACTGCTGACTCTGGCAGTCTGGGCCCCTGGCAGGGGGCCTCCATTGCAGGTACTTGCAGCAGCCCAAGCACAGAGGGGTTGTTTTCAGGTTCAGGGGGTCACCTCTGATTAGCCAGCAAAATTCCACCACCTGCCCCACCACCCCACTTCTCACATTCCCTCTTACACCAGTTCTCTCCTTCAACCTCGGCTAGAGCAAGCTTCCTTTTGGCAACACCTGGAGCTAGTGCAGTAACCTCCTTTGGATTCTTGCACTCTTGGCAGCCTCACTTCAGATGCAAGCGCCAGCCTCCCCGGCTCAGCAGCTGCCCTGCACGCCTGGGATCAGTGTCAAATTCAGCCTGGTCAGCGGTTAAGAAAGTAATAGGGCAATCACCTTGGAGATGGAGACTGTACCAGCGCTGAGTGGACAGGCTTGGGAGCCATTCCTCTCCCTTGGTACAGGCCATCTAATTAATGTCACTTGTATTCCAGTAGCATCTAGAAGGCCCAGTCATGCTCAAGGCCCCTTTGTTCTGGGTGCTGCACAAACACTTAGTGAGACACAGTCCCTGTCCCACAGAGCTCACAGTCTAAAGCTCTGGTTCTCAACCCATGGCCCAATCAGCACACAGCTGCGGTCCATGTGGCTCTCAGGGCCATACAGGTAGTATATATGGATGTGGCCCACATAACAGAGAGCTGCATATGCAGCCCACAATGATAAAAGGTTGAGAACCACTGGTCTAAAGAGACATGATGACAAAGTTTGGGGGGGGGGGGGCGCAAGGCAGGAACCAAGAAAGATAATATGACTTACCAAGGTCACCCAGCCGATCAGTGCAGAGGTAGGAGTAGAACCAAGGTCTGAGTCTTGATCCAGTGGTCTAGCCCCAGGCTCCAGAATTTCAACTTTCATTATAAAATTAAGTTCATGGTTGTGAAAGAAACTTTCAATCTGTGACCCAAGTACAACTGGTGTAGTGCCATCTGCCTGAGTCTGCAGACAGCCTGCAACAGTAAGTTTGGGACACATCTGAACTGCTTCTACTCAGCTCCCTGGATAGCGATCGCTGAAGCCAAATAATCACCTTTAAACTGCCAGCATCATTAACTAATTCCCAGATGATCAGAGCAAACAGGTTGCGATGAGGGACAATCCTGTTAGGAAGACTGGAAACCTGTGTCCAGAGTAGATGGGCCATGGGAGCATACCACCACTGATTGTTCTCCAGGCTGAGCCCAAACAGACCATTCAATGTAAGCTGGTATCCTGTGCGCCTGCCTCGGTGCTGCATGTGAGAGGGAGGAGTTAGATTGGTCATTTACAGAGCCTGGAGCTCGGGCAGCAAATCTATCCACATGCCCCACTCCATGCCAACACACAAGACTATTGCAGTTCAGCCCAGGAAGGTTCTCCGAGAGGGCTGCACACACCAGACCTGTGTCCACACAGAGAAGGCATGTGACGGAGCAGCTGCTGAGGAGCCATGTGCCAGGAGCTTGGTGGGAACATGTGGTCTCTTGGTTGCACTTCCATGCCCTGTTTACAGCACACTGGGGGCTCGCCCAAGCTGGAGACTTCACATACCGAGGCCAGGGGGTCTTGTTAATCGCTTTTATTTTAGCGAGTGCTGTACACAGTCAACCTCAATCGCCCGCCACCAGGTGCTCCCCATGCCCACTGTACACATCTGCTTTGAGCCCGCTGTGCTCCAGTGCTTGCCTCTGCGGGGCGAGGCCCAAATAAGTTACCCGTGTCCCCTGTGCTGTGTCCCCAGGCACCGGCGCTGGAGAGGGCCATGATCAGCCCTTGAATCTTGCTCCTCCCGGTGCTAGGGCAAAAAACACAAAGTCCCCTTGTGCCAGGGATAGTGTCTGATTTGGAAACAAAGTCACAAGATGATGCCCCCTGCCTGTGCATCTCAGAGAAGATGGGCACCACTGCCCAGGAAACTGGTCTCATCCACTTTCCCAGGAATGGGAGGTCTCAGCATGGCATGGCAGCCTCTGAGGGCAGAGGGGAGCACCTGCAGGGCAAGACCAGCATGTTAGGAATGGGCTAATGCAGCAGCTGGGACATGGCCCCTGCAGGCCCCATGCTCTAACGCCCACTGTTCTGGGTTGGCAGCGTTCAGGGGCTGCTCTCGCTTCATCTCCAGCTGATGTTACTGTCACAGACCACCTGCCACCCAGGAGTCATTTCCCCCCTCCCCAGCCCAGACCACGTCTGGTACAGGACGGAGCTATGCTGCTACAAGGGCCTCTTGCTTGGTACCATCAGGATGCATTACAGCAACGTCACTGGCCCCTCTGCATGTGACGACTCCCCCCGCAGGCAGGTGCCAGGCAGCCCCCACCAGAAAAGACAGACAACAAACCAGTCACTTGAAATGACTGGATCAAGGAGCCACCTTTGTGCAGGAGGAGCCAGGACATCCCAGGGCGCCGTGACAGCTGTGTAATGCTGACAGCCTGGCCAAGCCACAAGCCACTCACAGGGCCCCAAAAGGCCACTGGGTTGGGCCAATGCTTGCCCACCCCCTTCATTCCTGCTACCATGCTGGGAGGTTTCTGAGCAGCCCGAAGGGCAAAGCTCAGAGTGCCACAATACCAGACACCTCCCCAAGGATCCCAGCCCAACAGGTCTGGGGGCCCACCTCGCAGCATCACCCTTCGGCTCTTTCCCGCTTCGGAAGGTCTCTGCCTGGCTTATGTTCCTGACAGTAGAGCTACACCCCTTCCTGCCTCCTTAACAGCCCAGGGCCAGCGACTGCCCCAGGCAGCTCTGGCACACCTGCTGTGGGCAGCCATGGGCACTGGTCAGCACAACAGCTACTACATGCATCATGGAGGTGAATGCCTGGCTGCGAAGATGGTGTCGCCAGGAGGGCTTTGGCTTCCTAGACCAC